AAGGTATAGCAACAAAAGAGAGCTATGAAACACTCTTATCCAAAAATTGTTAGATGTCGCACCCATATCTAATGATGCAAAAGGAATAAAGGCACTGCATGATAATATAAAAGAAACATTATCTGCATTAAATAATATTGAAATTAAAACGGATAATTGGGATCCAATCCTTTTACACTTATTAACAAAGAAATTGGATCGCCAAACACACTTGCTGTATGAGCAGTCAATTCCAGATACAAGGAATTTACAATCAATACAGGAATTTTTGGAATTCTTGGAGCAAAGATTTCTCACGCTGGAGGCCATATCCGGTGAGAAAATCAAAAAGCCGAGCACGTGTGCTGCAGGAGCAGAAGCACAATTTAATTGCTTCTTTTGCAAAAAGCCAAATCATAGCATTTTTAAATGTAATGATTTTTTAAAAAAGACTCCAGCAGAGCGACTTAGCTGGACGCAAAAGAACAAATTATGTGTTAAATGTCTGAGTGCAAATCATACCTCCAAAACATGCCCAAGGAGGAATTGCTTTACATGCAACAAAGGACATAATACACTACTGCACCTAAAAAGGGTTGCTGACAACCAAGAGACCATTACTGCAGCATCAGTAAATGGCAGACAAGAAAGCTACGTCCTCCTAGCCACGGCAAGAGTCATCGTCGTAGGCAACAATGGACAAATGGCTGAATTCAGAGCACTATTAGACTCTGGATCCCAGATAAATGCCATTTCTGAGAGAGCAATTCAGAAATTGTCATTGAAAACCACGAACTCTATGCTTAAAATAAAATGCATAGGTGGAAAGGCACACACGTCAAGCTCCAGAGTCAATGTAGAGATAAAGTCAAAATATGAAAACTTTGTCTCAAGACTGGAAGCGATGGTAATGCCTCACATTGTTGCTGATCAGTCGACATATCCAATCTCGACGGAAAATTGGAAAATCCCAAACATCACGTTGGCTGACCCTAATTTCGGAAGTCCAGGAAAAATAGACTTGCTGATTGGAGCAGAGCATTATTTTGAAATAATGCTATCAGAGAGTCAGAGAGTGGATTGTAGCTGGAAAAATATTAAATGAAGGAAGAACATCGTCCGTTTGTGCAGTTCTCATGGAGGCAGAGAAAGTAGATGAGCAACTACAGAAGTTCTGGGAGCTTCACAACTTTCAACCCGAAAAGAAGTGTTATTCACCAGTTGAAAGGCAATGTGAGGCCCACTTCCTAGAAAATATTCAGCGAGCACGTCAACGTCGTCCAGTTACCCTTTCTGGAGCATACATCAGCCCTGGGGGAGAGTCTTGACATTGCCACGCGACGATTCCTATCCCTAGAAAAAAGGCTGCAGAGAGATCATGTGATCAAAAAAGGCTATATAAACTTCATGAAGGAATATGAAGAGCTTGGACACATGAAAGAAGTTCCTTTGGTAAATTTACCAAGGGCACACTATTTCATCCCACATCATTGTGTGTTGAAACCAGAGAGTCACACAACAGTGTGCTTGGTTTCATTAAGCGGTGGTCGAAGGAATTCAATGACCCCTATGTTACAAAAACGTTATATACTTTACTTGTTCGTCCTATCTTAGAATATGGATCCTGCGTTTGGAGCCCTCAGTATAGCGTCCACAGTAAACGCATAGAATCGGTTCAAAAGAACTTCTTACTTTTCGCTGTACGCGGTTTAAACTGGGATGCAAACCAGAGGTTACCGTCTTATTCTAGTAGACTCTTACTTATTAACTTACCCTCCTTATCTAATCGTAGAGCCCTGCTTGGTATTACATTCTTATACATCTTAATCCGTGGTGACGTGGAAAGTACTGACTTGCTCGGTCAGCTAAATTTTCACGTAGCAATAAGAAACACTAGAGCCTTTTTACCATTAGTTTTGCCCCACTGTAGAACATCGTTTGAACTGCATGAACCCTTTAGAGTCCTCTGTGCAAATTATAATGATTTGTACACCATATCTTAAAACTTCAATCTTAACCTACTTAGTATGCATTCAAGCAACCAATCCGGCAGTATGCCAGTAGTAGTTTTCTCGCATTCTTTTCTAATTATTTCCTTTGCGCCTTCTAACTGCCAACAGAACAAGCACGTGCTTGGTGTCGCAAGTTCCACTTGATATGTACTGTACATAGTGCATCAACGTCTTGCAATTTAAAAAATTTAGACGATTAAATTATTATTTTCAGTCAAATGCCACCGAAATAACTGAAACTCAACAACGTGAGGAGCAAAGAGGCACGGCGCAGAAGTACTGAAACAGCTCAAAGAATCAGGACAGCAAAAGGTCGTGCACAAGAATCTCAAGAACATCGTAACGAACGTCTTCAAGAGAATATTTCGAAAAGAGCGGCACGAGAACGAAACATAGATACAGCACGAGTACAAGAACGTACATTTTTCGTTTGTATAGCTTTTAAATATACACCAGATATTAACTACTTTGCGCATTCAAAAAGTACCATCGGTGGAATGGATAAAGTATGCCAATATTGTCATTGAAATTTCGGAATGAAGCACCCGGCATGTGCTGTGCATCTGAAAAAGTTGTGCTGTCACCTCTACCCACTCCGCTGGAACCTTTATTATCCTTTCTTGCTGGCAATTCAGATAATACAAAACTATTTTTGCGTAAAATACGCAAATTTAATTCTTTCTTCCAAATGACGTCATTTGGGGCAACTAAAATTTGCGATCTTGCATCCAATGGACGTAATTTTGAAACTGCTTTCAAAATACGAGGTCAGGTGTACCATAAAATAGGGTCATTGATGCCATTGCCTGATGATAATCCGAAATTTCATCTAAATTTAATTTATGGAGAATTGTGAAGAGCGCGTGACGACTCGGTGTCAGTATAATTTCATTGAAGAAGCAGGAGATGAAAGAGCAATTGTGATGTTACTGGAACTTTTTTTAGGTGAGAAGAATCAACTTATTTAAATAATTAAAAGAGTTTCGACACGATTGAAAAATTGCATTAAGTGAACAATGCTGGTAGATTCAACGCAAGGCTTTAAACTGAAAGACAATTTTTGCACTGTTCTTCAGGATAAAAATGAATTGAATCAGAGTATTTTTCCGGACATACAGAATAATTACTTGAATAATAAACAAATGTTGATGTTGACGAAATTAACTTCCAGATACAACAGTTGTCACCAGGCAATCTTATTTCTATTTAATCAATCGATACTGTTGTTGATGAAAATAAAAGTGTAAATTTTCCAACTGAATTTTTCAATTCACTAGATATACCTGGAATGTCACCACATCTTTGATCAAAGAATGGTTTCCCTATTATTCTCCTATGTAATTTGAATCCGCCCCAATTATGCAACGGTACGCATATGGCCATCAAGAAGATCGCCGGAAATATACTTGAAGCAACCATTTTAACTGGGAAGTTTAAAGGAAAAGTGACGTTTTCCAATCATACCGTCAGATTCTACCATACCCTTTAAAATGCTACAGTTTCAATTCGTTTAGCTTTTATCATGTCTATAAATAAATCTCAAGGCCAAAAAATGTCCATTGTTGTTTACATTGAAAATTCCATGTTTTTCTCATGGGCAACTATATGTTGTAGGGAATCCGTCGAATCTACTTGCGTTACCTAAAGACAGGTTAACCAGAAATATTGTGCACCTATTAGTGCTAAATTAAATTGAAATTAAAAGTATTTATAATTATAAATATATTATTATATATAATGTTGTGTATTACACCAAATGATGAGATGTGCGTCTGCTTGGCTTGAGCTTCAGATCTTATCTCCCCATATATTTTCTTTGTCTTCTTTTACATTTAAGTTTACAGTTATTAGTTTGTATGTATGTTAAATGAATAAGTGTGACCAAAAACAATTAACTTATAATTGACAAATATCTAACATGCCCCTCCTTAAGATGATACTAATATTATATTATAATAATAGTTTACATTTTATCTATATTAATATTTCAGTCAAATTAATTACATTTTAACATTTCGTTTTCGTTTTCATTTCATTTCGGTTATACTCAATTTACAGTTTTAACATATATCTTGATTTTATCTTATGATTTTACATTTCTAGAGTTGAAATAATATTTTTTAAATTGTCTTCTTTACAACTCTTCCTCCTTGGCGTGGTCTCAACTCTCTTCTGGTGGGAGAAGTGTTAAGTTCAGATGGTAATTGATTGTTTTCATCTTCTATATAAACTTGATTCTCTACCGTAGAGTCATTGCTATTGACCACTTCGTTGTTGTTTGTAACTTCAGTTGCAACTTCATTGTTTCTTTCCATGTTTTCATTTCTTATTTGATCTAAATGTCTTTTTATTTCGCGATTATTGTGAGATAGAATACAACAATATGATCGAGGGCCTAGTTGTTCATTTATGGTTGCTTGAGTCCAACTAGCTTTCTTTGGATTTTTATAATCTCTGACCATGACCTTTTGACCTTTTCTAAACGTTATGTTGCGTTTCCCTTTATAATCGCTTATACTTTTGTTTTGCTTTGCCTCTATTTGTTTAGTGACTGTGGGTGGTTTTAAAAACGTGAATCTTGTTTTTAATGAACGTCCAAAAAATAACTTAGCAGGTGATTCTCCTGTTGTGCAATGAACAGTGTTTCTGTAGTCTATAAGAAATCTATTTAACATTGTGTCAAACTCACAATTTTCATTTTCTTTAATATTGGCATATAATGATTTTTTTACTGTCTTGACGAAATTTTCTGCCTGTCCATTTGTAGATGGATGCCCTGGTGCAGTCAGTATATGCTTGACATTGTTGTTTTTCATAAAAGTTTGAAACTCCGCTGATGTGAATTGTCTGCCATTGTCACTGACTAAAACATCAACTAAACCATATCGACAAAAAACTTCTCTTAACTTGTTTATTGTAAATAAAGTTGTGATCTCTTTGGTCTTAAAAACTTCAACCCATTTTGTAAAAGAGTCGATGACAATAAGCAAATAATAATTTTTGATAGGTCCAGCAAAATCTACATGAATCCTACTCCAAACTGTATCTGTCGATTTCCAGGGTATGAGTTCTCCTTTCTCAGGACTGGCCTGCAATTCTTGGCAAGGAATGCATGATCTAATCATCTTTTCAATTTCCAAATTAATTGCCGGCCACCAGACATAGGATCGTGCCATCATCTTGGTTTTAACAATTCCCAAATGTGACTTATGGAATTCGCTAAGTATCTTCTTTTGAAGCTTAGACGGAACTACCACACGGTATCCCCATAAAATACAATCATACTCAATAGATAGTTCACAAGATTTGTTAACATAAGCTGAAAATTCATTGCCTTTTAATTTTGAAATTGTACCGTTTTGAATTGCTTCAGCCACTTTTGCTAGTACAGGATCTCTTCTAGATTCCTTTGCTATGTCTTTAAAACTTAAATTGAATGAGTTGTTTGATTGAATGAAATTTACATAATTAAACTCATCAAAATCTTTGTGTGTTTCCCATTGAGGCATTCGTGATAGACCGTCAGCTAAGTTTGATGCACCTTTTACATATTCTACTGAGTACTCAAAACCTGACAAAATTACTGACCATCGCTGAATTCTTGCTGATGCCATCAAAGGTAAACCTTTTGATTCTCCAAAGATTCCTAACAAAGGCTTATGGTCCGTGCGTAGTATGAATTTAGTTCCCAATAAATATTGTCGTAATTTTACTACACAATAAACAATTGCAAGCGCTTCCTTTTCGAATGTGCTATAATTGATTTCGCTCTTTGATAGTGATCTAGATACGAAAGCTATTGGTTTAAGATCGTTATCAATTTTGTGTGACAGTATTCCAGCAACTGCATTGTTGCTAGCATCTGTTGTTAGCACGATTGGCAATTCCGGGTCATAATGTACGAGTACTTGCTCAGAAGTGATTTCACTTTTGATTTCTTCATATGCTTTCTGACAACTGCTTGTCCATTCAAATTGGGTGCCTTTGCGCAATAATTCATATAACGGATTCATTTTCTGAGCAAAATTATTTATAAATTTTGAATAATAATTTACCATACCAATAAATGCTCTAAGCTCTGACACATTTCTTGGTGTTGGTGCTAATGAAACACTTGATTTTCTATCATTAGTCTTGCTCAGTCCGTTTTTATCAATCATAAAGCCTAAGTAACAAATTTTAGATTTGAAAAATTCACACTTATGAGTGTTTAATTTTAAACCTACAGATTTTAATTTATTTAAGACAATTTTTAAATTCGTAATATGTTCTTGAAAATTGCGTCCTGTAATAGTTATATCGTCTTGATATACTACGACTCCCGGAATGCCTTGAAATAAGCTTTCCATAGCTTTTTGAAAAATTGCTGCTGCAGACTTAATACCAAAAGGTAGTCTCTTGACTTTTAATAAACCTATGTGTGTGCTCCAAGTACACATTCTTTGTGAACTTTCATCTAGCTGTAATTGATTATATGCATTACTCAAGTCTAGCTTGCTAAACAATATACCTCCAGTTAAGGCTGCAAAAATGTCATCTATTCTGGGCAATGGATACTTTACATCAACCAAATGTTTGTTTAATGTAACCTTGTAATCACCACATATTCTTATGTCACCATTTGGTTTTAATATTGGGACTAATGGTGTTCCCCAATCAGAATTATCTACATGCTCTAATACGCCTTCGTTAACTAACTTACGCAACTGTTTATCAACTTTATCTTTCCACGCTAAGGGTAAAGGTCTTGGTTTGAAAAATATTGGTTTTGTATCAGGTTCAACTTGCAAAGTGATTTTATGCACATTATAGCATCCTAATTTAGGACTAAAAACCTCTGCAAATTCGACTTTAATTTTATCAATAATATTTGAATGAATTTCAGACTCTTTAACCGAATTTATTTGCCTTAGCTCAAAGTTGAAAGATCTTAAAAATGTTCTGCCAAGCAACGGTGGACTTTTCGTATTTGTGACAACAACAACTATTTCTTTTTGTACGCCTCGATACTCTATTGTTGCATCGTACTCACCAACAATTTTAATTTTATCTCCATTGTAGCTTACATATGGAGTTCTGCACTCTCTAAGAGGCTTTTTGTTCGCAGATTTGTTATAAAATGAAGCTGGTACCAAAGTACAGGGTGCTCCTGTGTCGCAAGCAATGCTCATGGAACAACCATCAATGTTAACCTGCAGTAAATATACCTCACCAGAAGAGGAGTCTGAAGCCACGCTGTATATGGAAAAATCAAAAGCATTAGTTTCATAATTTTCAGAATTTGAATTTAATACACAATTTACGGTCTTATTTTTCGATCGACATACTGACGCTATGTGTCCAATTTTGTCACATACATGACAAGTACAGTTTTTATACTTGCAGTCATTCGATTTATGATTACGCCATCCACAGTGTTCGCAAGACTTCTGCTGCTTTTTGTTGTAATTGACGTCAACGTCGCTGCCAGAACTTCTCGAACCTTTTCCAGTACCTTTGAAACCTTTGCCGTTATTGTTTGCGTGATTACTCCACTTCTCTTTTCCTTGTTTCCTCCCGCTTTTAGAATAGTGTGCGCCGTTTATGTATCCAACTGTGTCGTCCGTCTTCTTTGTTGCAATTTTCGTCTCGATTATCATTGCCTTTTTTAGAGCATCGGCCAATGATAACTTCTCGTCTTCTTCGCATATTCGCTCAAATATTAACGGTGAGAGGCTCATAACGAATTGGTTTAAAACAAACGCTTCCAAGTGTTCGCCAAATTTACAGTTAAGCGCCAATTGTTTTACACGTGCATACCACTGTGCCACTGTTTCAGCATCTTCTTTGATCGCATGATGAAATTTCTTGCGTTCACGGAAAACAATTGTGGGGGGTGTGTAGTGAGTGTCCAGAATGTTACAAAGTTCTTTGTATGTTTTTGACACCGGCGATTCTGGGCTGCATAGACTGTGTAGTACACTGTAAGGTGCTGCTCCGATCGACCTCAGTAACGTAGACTTTTTTGCACTCTCTTCTGTGATATTCATTTCACAGAAATGTATGTTCAGTTTTTCTTTCCAAATGCAAAATGTTTCACTATTAGGCGAGAATTCGCTTACGTTTGACATTTGGTAAAATGTTGGCAGTGTTACCGCTTCACTTTTAGCCATTTTTGTTTTAATATATTTGTAATTACAATATATATGATGATATTTGGATTTTTGTGCGCAAATGTATATACAAATGCCAACTGTTTTTATTTCTTTTTACTCCTCGTCGCCAATTATGTTGTGTATTACACCAAATGATGAGATGTGCGTCTGCTTGGCTTGAGCTTCAGATCTTATCTCCCCATATATTTTCTTTGTCTTCTTTTACATTTAAGTTTACAGTTATTAGTTTGTATGTATGTTAAATGAATAAGTGTGACCAAAAACAATTAACTTATAATTGACAAATATCTAACATATAATATAATAAATATTACTGTTAAAGATTTAAGACTATCTGCCTTACCTACTGTCGCGGAACAAATTAGGGCTATCGATAGTTAGTCAGGTTTCAGTAGGAGTCAGTATTTATTGTGTCAGGATTTCGGAATGAATGTAATCGGGCACACTAATTTAGGCAAATGCAAGCTTAGAATTGGCGGATGAATTTATACCGATTTGCGCCATCACAGAGAGAGGGAAGGGAAACTGTGGTATGTAAGCTAAGGAAAACTGTATTGCAGGTTAAGTTAACTTATGTATTTCAGAATAAAACACTTGAACACGTTCACAACCGACGTTGTCCTTTGTTATCGCTATTTGAGAGGCGGTTAACGGAGTGTTAAGAAGGCATATCCCCGTGATCGGGCAAGCGGCGTTATTTTCTTTTATTCGCACTCTGCGAGATGTCTACACAGCATTCGCCCCGGCGGAGCCCCAGGCTGGAGGCCTCGGGTGCTCCCGCAACTGCGACACCCACGACCACAGCAACTGGCAAAGCGGCCAGCTCTGCGAGTGCAGCTGGTGATCGACAGCGGCCACAGACTCCGAAGGAAAGTGGGAAAGCTGCCAGTGAAGCGGCAAGTAATCTGCAGCCCGCAGCAAAGGGGCAGATTACAGACTCCACAACTGTACAAGTGGTGGCCCTAATGGAATGGATCGCACACCTAGAGTCGGAGCTGGTGAAGGCAAGGGCAAATGGAGGGCAAGCAGAGGCCGCCAGGGATCCCGTTAGAATCGAGACACGCGTGACGCGGCGTTGGAGTGAGCGGTGCGGCGAATACACCGCCATGTTTGAGTGGAAAGGCTGCCAGTGAAGCGGCAAGTAATCTGCGGCCCACAGCAACGGGACAGATTACAAACTCCACGAGTGGAAATGCTGCCAGTGAAGCGGCATATTTGAGCGGAAAAGCTGCCAGTGAAGCGGCATGTTCGAGTGGAATGCTGACACGTACGAGAGCAGCACCACGGCAGAGCTCGAGTGAGAGCCTGCCCAGGCAGATGAGTGACAATCTGCAACCGGAGCTTAGAGTGACGCCATCTTTGGATGAGCAGTTGCCGGCACAATTGAGTGCAAATTTGCCGACACAATTGAGTGGAAACTTGGCGTCGACGCTCGCCGGCCATTGGGCAAACGGGCAACCTGTCACACGGACCTGTACAACAACAACAGTGAGCTATTCTCCGCCATTTTGTGTTACCGCCACGGCGCAGCCTGAATTAGGTTACGTTCAGCCGCCACGGGAGCCAACACACAATTTGGAGGTATCTATGCCATCGTCCCTATCATATGGAGCGGCGACAACGAGCATACCTGGGTGGACTCCACGAAGATGGCCTGATCTTCCCGAGTTTGAAGGTCAGCCAGAGGAATGGCCAATATTCCTGTGTGCGTTTACGGAGACAACGGCAGCTTACTAGTGTACAGAATTGGAGAATAATCAGAGGCTGGTGAAAGCCCTGAAGGGTGAAGCCAGAGCAGCAGTGAAGTCGCTGCTTATCCACCCCAGAAATGTGCAAGCTGTTATGGAGCAGCTACGATTCCGGTATGGACGACCAGAGCTACTGATCCGTAGCCAATTGGAGAGCGTGCGCGATGTGCAGCCAATCCTGGAGGCTAATATCGCAAGGATCGTGCCGTTCGCCACAAGGGTGAGCAACCTGGCAGCGTTCCACCACGACGGGCAACCAGCACCTGGGTAACCCAACCCTGATGGAGGAGCTGGTCGCCATGTTGCCTGTGAGCAAAAGGCTGGACTGGGCGAAGCACGCGGCTACGATACAGCCATACCCGACAGTGGTGCACCTGAGCTAGTGGCTTCATGAATTCGCTAAATTGGTGTGCACTGTCACGGACGTCGGAATCAAGGAGCACCCGAAGCGACGGGTGTTGCACGCGAATAGCGTCCCCGAGGAGGAGCGGTATGCAAACCACCCCAAACGTTTCCCCATGTGTGAGGGACAACACGAGATCAAAGATTGCAAGGAATTCAACCACGCTTCTTCGACGATGCGGATCGAGTCCGCGAGGAAGTTGAGGTTATGTTTTTCGTGTCTGGAGTATGGACACATGACCCGGTTCTGCAAGAAGGGCCGCGAATGCAACGTCTACGGATGCCGGATGAGGCATCACTACCTACTCCATGAACCAGCTGGACATCCCAGACGGCCGCCACTCGCAGATGGAGGCCGCAGGATGGATCAGCAGAGCAGTCAGGACCGGCAGCTGCACAGAGACAGCAGCCGACGGATACGAATGCCACAGTCAGTGGATTCCAACGAGAATACCCGGCCCACGCCAGCCGCAGTTTTAGACGCGGGACGTGAGGAGGGTGAGAGGCGTTCTACATGCGATCGTCAGGAATTATCGCACCAAAGCCTGAGTTGTGTCGATTCGGATGGAGGCCACCTGCTGTTCCGTATTTTGCCCGTGACGTTGTACGGGGAGAATACGCAGGTAGACACCTACGCACTGCTCGATGAAGGGTCGTCTGTCACGCTCATCGACGACGAACTCATCCGCAGCCTGAAACTAAAAGGTGAGAGTCGACAACTGAATGTGCAGTGGTTTGGCGGAAAGTCCGCCAAAGAGCATACAAGGATGGTTAGCCTGCAGATCAGTGCAGCGGGCAAACCCAAGCGCCATGGGCTAAACAACGTTTACGGAGTAGCCAATTTGAACCTTTCGATGCAGAGCTTGCGTCGGGAAGATGTGAAGGCAGTGAAGGCGAATGCGCGCCTGCCTGTAAAGCCGTACAGCAATGCGGCGCCAAGGATCTTAATTGGATTGGATCATGCGCATCTTGGAATACCCCTCAGAACCAGAAGCTACGGATCTGGACGGCCATACGCAGCAGCCACCGCACTTGGATGGGTGGTATATGGACCGGTGAAGGGAAAGGCGTGTTCACCGCTTCAGAGATCGTGCCTCCTAGCCGTGCCTCAGGATAATCTTCTGGAGAAGATGGTCAGCGTTTATTTTGAGATCGAGAATTTCGGAGTGAAGCCGGCACAGCCAGTCGCAGCTGGCGGAGTAAAGCCGGCGCCGTCAGTCGCAGATGGCGGCGTCGCACGGGCCCTGAGTATCCTGGAGGAGACGACTAAACGAGTTGGTCAACGATATGAGACTGGGCTGCTATGGAGAGACGACGAGGTGAGACTGCCAGAGAGCTACAGTATGGCACTCAAGAGACTCGTCAACATTGAGCGGAAAATTAACCGCGATGTAGACTTCGCGCGGGCCTACGACAGAATTATGGATGATTACGTAAAGAAAGGCTACCCACGACGACTGGAGCCCCAGGAAGTCCAAAGGTCCCAGGAAGGCAAGGTATGGTACCTGCCGCGCTTCGGGGTGGAAAACCCGAACAAGCCTGGGAAAATCCGGCTGGTCTTCGACGCGGCTGCCAAGGTGAACGGCGTGTCACTGAATTCAGCGCTAATGAAAGGCCCACAGCGCTACAAGCTCCTCCCAGCGGTGCTCTTCCATTTCCGGGAAGGAGCAGTTGGGGTTTGCGCAGACATCAAGGAGATGTTTCATCAGGTATTGATGGGACCACAGGACAGATGCGCCCAGAGGTTCCTGTGGAGAAACGGAAACGATCGTCGGGATCCCGACATATATGAGATGCAGGTGATGACGTTCGGAGCTGCTCACCATGCCCGTGAATGCTTCGCAGTACAGCAGCACGGATCCGAGAGCTGTCCTGGCGATCAACGAGTATCACTACGTGGACGACTATATCGACAGTTTTGCCAGTGAAACAGAAGCCATCGCCGTCTCGACACGGGTGAGAGAAATACACGCAAATGCTGGTTTTGATTTGTGTCGATGTACTTTCAGTTCGGCAAGTGTGGTCAGTGCGTTGAACCCACTTGAATCCATCGCTAGCGTCAGATGGACCGAAGCTGAGGAGAAAGTACTTGGAATGTACTGGCAACCGGCAACAGACGACTTCAAGTTCGGCGTCAAATACCATCGAGTCCCAAGGAGCGTGATGACAGGGGAACGCGTCCCCAGGAAGAGGGAGTTCCTGAGCCTGGTCATGTCCACGTTCGACCCGATCGTGTTTTTGAGCTGCTATATGGTCACCGCCAAGATATTGATGCGAGAGATTTGGCGGAGAGGAGTCGGCTGGGACGAGCAGCTGCCAGAAGAGTTAGCAGCAGCCTTTGAGAGCTGGCGGCAAGGAATGAGCAACATTGAAGAATTCCGATGTCCACACTACTATTTCGGCGCTAGACGAGTGCGGGCACTACAGCTGCACATCTTCGTGGATTCCAGCCAGTCAGCGTTTGCAGCAGCGGCCTATTGGCGGGCCACTTACGAGAGCGGAGACGTGCAGGCGCATTTCATATGTTCCAAGACGAAGTGCGCTCCGATGAGGACAATGTCTATTCCCCGTCTGGAACTTCAAGCGGCAGTATTGGGTACGAGACTGATGGACACCATCAAGCAGGAGCACGGTGTGGCGATCAGCGGCTGCGTACTATGGACGGATTCTAAGACTGTGCTGCACTGGATAAGCAGCACCCACCGGAGATACAAGCAATTCGTCGGAAACCGGGTGGCGGAAATCTTAGAATCCACAGAGGTGTCCCAATGGAGATGGATCCCGTCTGCCGAAAACGTGGCAGATGACGCGACGAGGCCGCGCATGAGCGTGGACCTAAGTATCGGGTCGCGGTGGTTAAGCGGTCCCACATTCCTACGAGGACCGGAGGAGAGCTGGCCGAGATCAGGCGAGGATTGGATTCCCCCGATGCCAGATGAAGAAGAAATGAAATGTGAGTTTGCTCTGGTCATGACAAATTTTATATCTGTGCAGAGATTCTCGAGCTACAACCGACTGGTGAGGAGCACCGCGTGGGTGCTTAGCTTTATTCGATGATGCCGTGGACTACGTTGCGATCGAGAGAATCACGGGCTGACGTCGATGGAGTACGCCGAGGCAGAGCGCGCACTGATAAGGCAGTCGCAGCGAGAAGCGTTTGCTGAGGACAACCAAGGAAATGCCGCCAAGGGCAGCCGACTGTACGGGTTGTCTCTTGGGTCTCTTTACCGATTGGCATCTCTTAAGGTCTTGCATTGGTGCAACTGTGCAATTCGACGCAAGCTGCACCTTGCGAAAAGCATCCTGCCATCACCGGTTACTCGAGTACACTGCGGTCCTTGTATCCATCCAGATGACTCCTTTAAAGTTTTACACATGACACAACTGCCAACAACCTTCAAACATATTTGGTCATTTTGAAAAATCAACAATATTGATAAATCTTCCTAAGTCTTTTTCCAACCCAAATGCATAACGGATTTATAATTGTCCAACGAAGTGTAAGGGACACTACTGGCAGGCAACAATATCGTACATTTCTTTGTATTTTTAAAACCCTTTTCTTATGTCAATTCAATTTCAGATTTCTGTTCTATGCATACACTTTTCTGTCACTTTACTTTTGACTTGACTTTTCACTTTACGGTTTACGCGGCTTATCTCTCTTTATCTAACCGTAGAACCATGCTAGATATTACATTCATTCATAACCTAATCCGCGGTGACGTGGGAAGTGCTGACTTGTTGGGTCATCTTAATTTTTAAGTACCGTGTAGAAAAACTAGCTACTTTAAACCCTTAGTTTTGACCCACTGTAGAACATCCTGTGAAATACTTAAACCCTTAGAGTCAGTTGGGCAAATTTGAACGGTTTGTACTTTATAACATCTAATGGATACAGGCTTCCTAAACTATAAACTGTAAACTTAACGCATTTAGTAAGCATGCAAGCAAGGGCCATTTGTTTGTACTGTCCATATATGGACTATAGTGCACCAACGTCCAAAATGATGTAGATGTCGCAGAAGGAAAAGGAACGACATAGAGTTGGAGAGTCCCAAGCAGGTTGGTTGTGAAATTCAGGAATCATGCCACGTGCCAGAAAACGTTTCGCCTAAAGTCCAGTTGAGAACTCAGACAAGGAATCCTCGTCATATTAAAATCATACCATATCTCAAGATAAACATATTTTAACAACTTAGAAGCCATATTTTTGTTCTATTAATTTCTCGATTATTCATATGGCAACTACCTGCAATAAAATGAAATCAATTAACAGAATTTTAGTCAGACAGCTCATAAAACTTAGAGTCTAATTTTAATAGTAACGGACACAGTAACTGACTGATAGTCTGACAGTGGAAAAGGCTAGATCAACTCGAATGGTGATATACACTTTAGATGGTCTGAAATGAATCCTCTGCGTTAAAAACTTCTGCACAGAAAAATGTTTCGTAGGTTGAATACACTATTATAGGAATTGTATGTATTTCACGTTCCCGACATCAGAGTTCAATTTGCCTCAGTAGCTCAGTTGGGACAAGGGTTCGAATCCAGGCCGGGAATCAAGAAAAGTTAACTTAAGTTGCTTTTAATAAGATTTATATACTAATTTTAGTAATTTAATAACAATTTGTAGCTTTTAATAAAAAATTCTTTCACACAAAGTTTTGGAAAAACCAACATCAATATTAATAATGTTAAGCATTAAAAATGTTTCGCATTAACTTAGATCAATCTATTTACGATTACATTTTTTATTTTTAGTTTATTTTAAAAATAGTTTCTGGATTTATTTGGGTGGTAATTTAAGTTTGTATACCCCTTGCAGATTGCAATTGGATCATTGAGAATCGAGCCATTCTGGTTAAATAATTTTAAAAAATAAATAATAGAAAATATATAAAAGTTGTATATTTATACACACCATAAATAAAATGCTGAAAACACACACAAAATAGAGTTTCATTACATTTTACCTATACTTATTATGTTTATAGTTTGACAGTTACAGTTTTACATTCCTAGCTTTAAATTTTCTCTACATCGACCGATCGTTTCTATGGCAACTATAAGATATAGTTGTCCGATTCTCATAACATTTATACGAAAATTCTGAAATAATAACAAAAGCTCATATCTCAGAGTAGATGAAAATACGATCGTTCCCGATCTTTCCTATAAGATATAGTAGTCTGATTTTCATAAACTGAAAATGTGAAATAATTTAAATTGGCCATATCTCAAAATGTTGAAGAACAGCCAAGTTATAATTTTTTTTCTAAAAATTTATCAAACATTTGTATGGCAGCCATATTATATAGTCGTCCGATCCAGCCCGTTCCGACACATATAGCAGTGAGAGTATATAGAACACTATATGCAAAGTTTCTTTCGGATACCTTTAAAACTGAGGGACCAGTTTGCGTAGAAACGGACAAACAGAAATGGCTAGATCGACTCGGCTGTTGATGCTTATCAAGAATATATATTGCAAACTTCTGACTGAAATAATAATACGCTGTGTAAAAAAGTAAGAACATTAAACGGGTGAAAATTAATATTACCTTGCCGTCCAATGGTGATGTCCAAAACGTTCTGCGGAAATATTTTTAGGCGCCAAAAATTCAGCAATAAAGTTCTTTTTGTGAATTGCATCAAAGTGTGCCAAATCAGCTCCATTTTCTGGTATTTCTTGAATGTGGCAATTAATTAGGAATGAATTTTGCCCGTGGTAAACAAAGTTTTCTTGCAATCCTTCCATAGATAACGACAAATCCCAAGGTATTTCTGTTGGCTCAGAATGATACCAAATGAAAATATATCCGTTTATTTCTTGTGATATCCACTTTCTTAGTTTTGAGCCTTTAGGAACTAAACAGAATTATATGTTAATCAGTATGGCTTAACACCGAACAAGCTCTTCTTCGTTAACCGAAGCTCTTAATATACAATTATTAAAATATAAAAAAAACTTCATTAACTAAATTGCTTAAAATATTTTTTCACGAAGTAGTAAGATGGAAGTTGTTCCGGGTTTTACGCGACGTGCGTCGGATATCTTTGTTTAATAGAATGCAAATCAGTACTGAATACATGGAAATTAGGTATAGCTAGTAAAGGCTCAGTGGGCTGGAAATTCGGAGAGAGCGGTAGAGAAAGCATATGGGACATTTCGAGGCAGGTAGCGGGATAACACTCTAGAAAATTAGGGCCCGTTTAGCGCGAACCTGTCCCCCTCATCCCCTTGTGACGATAGTGCTGGAAGAACATCAGGAAGGCTTTGCTCGGTGAAGAGTAGGATACGCTGAGCGCTCGTTAATATGCAAAGAAGTGTGGTGATCTTCTTCGTACGACTGGCATATGTCGTCACTGCAGCAAGATCCTTTGGAATGGTGATGGGCCAGGCAATTAGCGCAGTATTTCTTCTTGATCACTGCTTAAGGAAGAAGGAAGGAAACGCTGACACTTCCGAAGAGTATAGTTCCCTTGGTGGATGGGCATGGGTGAGATAATATTCTTCTGCTTTTGCTTTTGCTGTCATCATATGGAACACAGTAATTGAAAGAGCAATCCCGGACTTGATGACCTCTGGCAAATCGATTTCTACATAACTACTTTGTTTGAATGTAAGTCGAAGGATCGTCTAACGTCATCTGGATGAAGCGTGGAAATATACGCATCTTTTGGATATTGGAACAATCTTCGTACTGAAGGATGACACATTATAGGGCGTCGGTTTGGATGAACGGAGGTGTAACATAGGAGGCTGAAAAGCTTCTACGGTCTCAGAGTTCTATGGCGCACCATTACCATAGGCAAGAATAAAATTCCAGCCATAATGAGCGCGTTAGCTTTGGAAGATTCGTGGAGAAAAAATAAACCAGGAGTAAACTGCAGTAAAAAAAAAAATTTGCTAAGTTGCGAATTGGAAACTATCGAATAAGCTTTATGATTGTTTATGGGTCTAAGGATTATTTATATAGACCGCCGTGTAAAGGTCTCGGAAAGTATTGATCTGTTCCATGAGCGTCATACCTTCCGTAAATAAAATAAAAATAGATTAGCCCTCGAAACCAACTCTGAACAAGCTTCGTGCTCTTTCTCGACCTTATTCCATAGTGTACAGGACTGGTTGAGATAAATTTTACACGTATACTGGATTCGATACTCTAGTTTCAAAGAGAATCAGACGGGCACGGATCAGACCTAGATATATTTTCGAAAATCGAATTTTATTTCTTAAATTATTTCTAAATGACGAAACTATACTTTGAAATTTAGGAACTATTCGTTATATAATATTTGCTGCTATTGTATTTTTTACTCTAGTATGTGGCGAACATTGGCTGATATAATTTTTTATAGCGAAACCGAGTTCACTTATAGACAGTGTGCCATCTGTGGCACGACGCAGTGCTGGTGCTAGCCAGCCTAGTCCCACTAGCGACGGGTCGCCAAGGTCTAGTTGAAAAGCACGGCTAGGAGAAGGAGCTGCGGGAGCTGGCAGGCCAGGTGGGATGCCTCGCCCAAAGGACGATGGATGCACAGGCTAAGTCCAGGTCTGGATGGTAGAGCTGGGAAAAAATCGATTCTCAGCGAATCGATTTTTTTCGATTTTTTTGAAAATAAAATCGATTAAATCGAAAACAAAACTTTTTTATTTTTTACTTCAAATAAATTTAGAAAAAACCAAAACTTAAATTTATTTACATAATCATTCTTAAACAATAAACCAAAAATGTATTCATAATAAATCAAATAAATTTTTCTGGCCATAACCAATGATTAATTGATTTTGATTTTTTTTAAAGAAAATATTTTGTTTCTTATTTTATGAATCTTTATTTTAAATAAAATTATTTATTTTAAATAAAATTATTCAAAGCCTTTATTTTAAAATTTAAATAAGGTAACTTATTTTAAATTAAAATATTTAAAATAAAGGTTCATAAAATAAGAAACAAAATATTTTCATATTATAAAAACAAAAAATCAAAATCAATTATTTACTGGTTATTTCCAGAAAAATAAAATAAAATTAAATGAGATCAATTCAATGAGATCACAAAAAACAAAAGAAAATATTTTCAAATTATAAAAATGAAAATAAATATCAAAATTCTAGACTAGCCACTGGTTTTTGTTGGCAAAAACGAGCTATCGGTTATGATACATCCAGCCTTACTAAATACTCGCTCTGCTTCTGTTGAGCTAGCTGAAACGCACAGATAGCGCTAAGCATTGACCTTGTCGATTAATCGATTCTTTCTAAACCGAATCGATGCATCGACCAAAAAGAAAGAATCGATTTAATCGATGTTGACATCGATTTTTTCCCATCTCTACTGGATGGAGCGGGACCACGGACAGGTGAATTTCTACCAACCCATCTGCTGAGCGGACATTGCTGCCCAGTCGTACTTTGCTTAACGCGGAAAAAAAAATCTGGTTAAAATAGATGTAGAACAGGGATGGCTTAAGGAATGATTCGCAATTCAGCAAAGCGGCAAGCTCTAAATTTAAGTACCTGAATCGAACGCTGCGAAGTTCAAGAAAGAAGACTTATCCCTTCGAACAAGGGTACTTCCTTTTCGGGATTATTATTTTTAATGCGACGTTTGCTGATAAACAAGCAATTAACTCCGCAATTATGTTATTATTTGCTTATAAAACTATATCGATTTCCTAAACACGGAATTTGAAAAACATCTAGGGAATATTTTCCATTTAGTGGGATGTAAATATCATATTTTCCAGATTTCCCTACAACTAACACAACCAACATTTCAATACTAGTCCCAAGCAATCTAATAAGCCCCAATGTCCTTACGGATATTAGGTTAGGTTAGGTTAATCCGGACGGCCCTCGTGGGGCCACGCATAGGCCAATATGGCCCATATATTTATATATCTATCCGGAGAAATTCATGGATGGACCTAGAGACTATTTATGGGGGTCTCGAGATCCTTGAATATCAAGGTGTTTTTCGCGTTCTCCTGAAGGCATCTTCTAGCGATGCCAGAACTGGAGAGCATAGGTATCTCATTCATGCCCTCGTTAGGGCCGGACATTTGCAAATGAGATGCTCCAAGGTTTCGATTGCCTTGGATTCATCACATTTCCGGCATTTGGAATTGTCAGTAATACCCATCTGACTGCATGTGCAGCAGACAGGCAGTGACCTGTAAGAATACCCACTAACATTCTGCAGTCCTTTCGCGGAAGATTCAGCACGTAGTGAGTGAGTTTCTCGTTGTGCTCTTTACACATGATTTTGATATTCTGCAGGTTGCGGCATTACTCCTCCACCTGCTTTTTGCGCTTGCATCAGCCCGTCTCTCCAGCTCGCTTTGGAGCGTTCTTAGGGAGACAGGGACGTTTTATGCTCTTTTACTCGCCAGTCCGACGCCTTCCTTTGCAAGTTCGTCTGCGGTTTCGTTACCGTCTATGCCTTGGTGGCTGGGAACCCAGTAGATCCTCACATTGTCGTGCTCAGGCTATCTAGTGACTCCCTGCTTGCCAGTAGATTTTTGGAACTGACCGCTAATGATTGCATGGATCTTATCGCCGCTTGACTATCTACGAACAAATTGACCGCCTCATGTGATCGGTTTATGCTCTGCGCAAGCTTTGCTGCTTTCCTGATGGCAAATACTTCCGACTGGAATATACTGCAGTAGCTTGGTAGCCTATACGACAACCTCATTCCAGGGTCTGCACAGTATATGCCCGCTCCAACTCCTCCTTCCATCTTGGAGCCGTCGGTGTATATAGTGAGGTATTGAGCATGGTCCTGACCTGACTTCTATTTGGTCCCATGAATACTGTTGTGTTTACATCCGGGCACGTTCTGGGTATCATGTAGTCAGATGTACTGCTCATTTCACGACCAATTGAACTGTGTCCGAAACCTTGTAGTGACCAGTTTCCTGATGCAACCAGACGTTGTGCCGCCTTTCCTTCTGACAGTTGCGCTTGGATATCTAGGGGATATATACCGATTATGGTTTCGAGTGCTTTGGTGGGGGTTGACCTCAGCGCCCCTGATATGCAGAGCAGTGCCGCTGGGTTTTCTCCATATGCTTATTATACATTTTGTCTCCATGGCTTGCCACCAGACTAAGACTCTATACAGCAGATTCGGACGCACCACCGATATGTAGACCCAATGCGTTAGAGCGGGTGAGAGGCCCCATGTGCTGCTAAGCATCTTCTTGAATGCATACAGCGCTATGGTGGCCTTTTTTACCCTCTCTACTACATTAGCCTTCCACGCAAGCTTGCTGTCAAGTACAATGCCGAGGTATTTGACCTGTGTTTTTGGGTCAGCCTAAGAGTCCTACCTTCTCCGCCCACTCACATATCTCCCTGAGCGTTGTTTCCATGATCGAGCTGAGGGTCGATGGACAGACTCCCGTGATTATTATGCTTATGTCATCCGCATAAGCTCTTATCTTTCGTGCTTTTCTCTCGAATCTCTTGGTTAGGTCGCCTACCACCAGATTCCAAAGGAGGGGCGACAGAACCCCACCTTGAGGCGTGACTCTGTACGCTCCTATCACCATGGAAGCGGTGCCCCAATCTGATTGTACCCGCCGGAAACTTAGAAGATTCCTTATCCACAAGTTGATGGCGGGGGGACGAGTTGGTCGCTTTTAGGCGATCCATTATTGCGTCCGTGCTAACGTTGTTGAATGCCCCGGATATGTCCACGAACACTCCAAGTGCATATTCCTTATTGTTTAGGGTTCTCTCAATGGTGGCTACCAATGAATGGTCCTCCATTGGATAGGGATATCGCCCGTGCTTAAACAAGCTGTATATATTGCGTAGAGCCATGGGGTGATCACTTCCTTGGTCGCCTGCAGCA